TGAATATGCAAAACTAGGACACACTGATCTGTCTACACTTGGAGACCTCTGGATTTCAGACATTAAGGCTGTGCCTGGGAAACTAATTTTTACTCACAAAAGTTTGTAGTTCTGATTCTTACTTGCTAAATTGTTCTCCTTGCTAATAGGCCTTAACATATTTATCTGTATTTTTAAACGGTATGAAGACTTACAGATTTTTTTTTTATCCCACAATGAAAGAGTCATTGGGACTTTCCATTCCTCAAACATGCATCAGGATAGAATAGAGGATCACTAAGATTTCCCATTCCCCAAACATGCACCATTTATCCGCCGAATTCTGTTAAAAAAGAAAAAGACTTCTGGCTTAAAATGGTTGATTAATGACAACTGTTTTTCTCCTCTCTCACTAGAATGTCTCCTAAAATGATAGGAAAGGGATTAAAGTCACAATGATGAAGAGAAAGGAATTAGATGAGAAATGTTAACCTAAATATGACAGAGAAAAAACGGTCAGAGGGGTACTCATTGCTATTGAAGGTGGAGGATGGTTCCTGAGGTCAGAAAAGGATCCAGCATGTCCTGCAGCCTCCCAGAGATGCAGTGGTGGCTGAGAAGGAGATGCAGAGATGAAAATCAAGAGATTGTTCCAGAGGCGAAATTAAAAACGGTTTGCTCTACGACACAGAACACCCACAATCAGGCAGAAGAGTGGAGGTTTCTTCTTAAGAAAAATATAAATGACTCAGAGAGAAGGACTTCAGGCATTTGGTATTTGCTCAGTGAAGCCCACAAACTTACAAGCCCATCTCATTAAATGGAGTTTCAAGTTTGCTTTTCAGCATCTTGCTGGTAAGCATGAACAGACTACAACAGACCACAGCATGTGTGGAAACCTACAACATTAAGGAGTAAACCAAGATAAGCAAAAGGCAAAGAAGTACCCTAGCAGAAATAGGGATGTTTCAGGGAACAAAAGAGAATTTCTAAACAACAAATATTATCATACAAAAAGAGAATATATTGTACCAAAGATTCCATGCAGAAAAGAAACAACCAGAAAATAAAACAGAGACCTTGGAAATTCAAAATTTCCCAGAACAAATGGGGAAAAGCCCTAAAGGGAAAAATAGATAAATTTGAAAAGCTAAATGTCTAAAATAATGATGCGAGCCTATAAGCCTAGAGGTAAGAGGAAACTACTTAAAAAAAAAAAAATGTATACCCATCCAATTCTTGAGAATGGGTCCAAAAAAATTAAAATGGAAAGATGTATACCTTGTTCAATGATTCGTGTATGAGGGCAGAATCAATACTTAGACAGACAAGGACTCAAAAACTATTTTGCTCATGCACCTTCTGTGTTGGTCACACATTTTTCAATGTTCTTTTCTTCTGGGCCAAGGTAAGATTGTACCTCCTTTGGAGCAATGGGAATCACTCCAGCAGAAGAGCTCAGAGCCAGCACCTGGTTAGGCACGCTCTCTGTTCCTCTACCACAGTGACTGTCATTTCAGATGGGGTGGCTGCTCCTCAGCCAGAGACAGAGTCCAGGATGAGGGTCCTCTGAGCAGAGGCCTGGTGACCCATTGAGATTTGGAAGTTGTTTGTTCCTATAGAGCACCCTACTCCATTTTTACTGACACTGTGTGGGACAAATTATTTGATGATGTACTATAATTAACAGAATCAAGAAATCAGTATCAGTAAAGCCTTGTTGTAAAGGAACTGAAAGCATCGCTAAAAACCAGTTAAAATCCTGATGTCTCAAATTTATAAATTATCTTAGAATAGAAATTCTCAAAGTGGGGTTTAGAGACCCCCTAGGATTGTGCAAGACCCTTTCAGGTGTCACCAAGGTAAAATTGTTCTTATAATAACATATTATTTTCCCTTTTTCTTTCTCATTCTTTCATGAACATACAATGAAATTTTTCAGAGGCTAAATGTCCTGTGATGTCACAACAGATTGAACGCAGAAGCAGATAGGAGAGTCTAGCTGCCTTCTACTGATATTTAAAAGATGCATAAAAATGTAAAGCAATGCTAATCCTCTGGCTAATTTATTTCTATTTTGAAAAGTTCTATTATTTTTTGTAAAAATACACCACTTATATTCACGGGTAATAAATTCACTACTATTATTTCTAAATGAATAAATACATATTTTAAGTGTTCAAAGTTTTAATTTCTAATATGGTAAATAGCAACAGATATAACCCAATAAACAAAAGCCAATTCTTCGGGGTTCTCGATAATTTTAAAAAATACAAAAATATCCTGAATCCAAATATTTGAGAAGGACTGTTCTAAAAAGACAGGATATATACTGCATATAATAAAATTATAGCAATTTCAATCTTAAGCTTTAGATTCTATTTTAAAGTTTTTTTGTTGTTTCGTTTTGAGACGGAATCTCGCTCTGTCACGTAGGCTGG